CTTTGCTATCGCTGTAGCCATCTCATTTCCACTCTTGGTTTTGAGCGGTACGGCCCATGCGTGCTTACTCAACACATCGATAATGAAGAGAACGTAGTGATAATTTCTGTTAAATCGTGTGTAAGGGCGCATCTCAACCACATCAGCCTGCCACAGGTCATCGTACCCGTAAACTGTGACACGTCTGCATGGAAAATTTTTTCTCGACGGAGCGTGCAGTTCTTTCAGCAGTCGCCACTTTTCAAGGCTTTCCTTCTCAGACATGTTACGTTATGCTATGATTATTGCTGTATAATGCGTAAAATGTCACAAAGTTCTTATGCAAACGTTGTTTATCGGCATTTCGATGTCAACTAAAATGACTGTGTATCCCGCTTCAATTTATAATAAAGCCAGCTTCACGAAGCTCCTCAATAATAGACAATATTTCGTTATTGTGATCTGCTTGATGCGAGGCCTCAAGCAATCGGAGACGATCCACTCGTTAGGATCGTTCCAATGAACACAATCAATTTTATTATTATTTAGGGTCATGGTGCGTAGTATTACACTTTTTCCGACTCTTTTACCTGGCGCGTGATATGCCCGTTCCAACTTATATTTTACCTGATACCAAAGGTGCTATTATATTCTTATATTTGTACCCCTTGCTGACCACTATTGGATTATCCGCTTTATAACTGCGCCTGTGAGCATTTGTTGCCAACAGTATATTTTTATATGCTAGTTTATCATTCTCGGTGTAAATAGTGTCGTCGGGGATTCTTTTGAAAATTAATTCGTACAAACCATGTGTACCTTTGTACTTTACTCCATCTACGATCACAAAGTCATTTGTGTTTACATCGAAATATTTATCACTGAGCATCATACTGTTCTCACTGAGGTATACACCATAAACATAATCGATCGCATTTTCTCTGTCATCGAGAAGTATGTTTACGTATTTTTGTTCAAGTGCCCTCAATTACAACTCCTCACGAACTTGCCACGTTTGCAAAGATTGTTTAACTAACGTTTCAAACGGTTCATTGGGCGTTTCATAAACGTCTTCGACTGTGAGAACGTGCGAATGTTCGTATGATAATTTGCGTTTAAGTGACGCATAATTCGAATTCAACGTAATGTTCGATTCTTTTGTACGTTGCTTTTTAGACGACGGTGTCAATTGAAGCCTTGAATTATCCATCTAGAAGCCATCACCATTATTATCATCTTCATTATTATCATGAATATCTTCATTATCTTCAGGTTTTCTTTTCTTAATATTTTTATCCTTTACAACAATGACTTATTTCTTCATTGGTTGAGATTCATCATTAATGGTGTTTTCAATAATCTGTTTTAGAGGTTCGACGATAGACTTAAAGCCTTTCTCTAATGCTATATCTTGCTCTATTTTGCCGATTTTTAAAGCGCGACACTTTTTACAAATCAAGTCACTCGTTTTCGCAATTTGTTTCGCTATCCTCCCGCGATCCTTGAGTTTTTTGCTGTCATCCATGTTGCACTCGAAAGGAAATGTTGTGTAGTTGACGTATTGACAACGACTAACCACGTTAAGGTATCGCATACTTATTAAATCCTTTTCTGTATCGTCCATTCGTAAGCGCACTGTCTTTGTCTATCATCTACGAATCCATACTTTTGTTGCCAACAGCAACGACACAATTCGCAGAAATTCTCGTAAGAGTCGGTGTTTACATGATCATTGTATACATTCAGGTTAGCACCTGTTTGAACAGAATCAACAGATTTGCATTATTGCGTATAAAATGCTTCGGATCTTTGCGTACGTCTGACACAGATAAAAGCAGTCGACGTCCGCGTATCAATACATCGCAAAGTACTCTCTAATCGCGTTTTGCTTGTCGCATGCCACATCATTGAAGACAAAAATGGAATTTGGAAGCGCCTCATTCGGTGAATCCGATACTACATCGTTATTATTCGAGAATGTAAAATAACCAATTTCTTCAATCGGTGCTAATAAATTCTCCAAGTATCGGTATTTTGACTGTTGCAACGACTTCGAGTACACGTACACGTTCTCGAAACGTATGACATGTAGACTTTCCCGTAAACTTATTAATGCGTTTGTTTTGTCGTAATTCGATGGACCGTAGATGATTCCGCGTAGATAGAAATCGGCAGCATGTTTCCATGCTTTTCTTTTTCAGTCTGTACTTTATTGTCGACATTAGTAACTTTGCTCGTCTGCGATGTCGCATGAACTTCATCTTCTCCTTTTACGACACTGATAATATTGAAAAAAACAACATCGAGAGCGGATGTATTTATAGTAGCGCGCAAAGCGAAACCGCTCAGTATTCAAAATACTTCTAATCGTGTCGGACAACTGTGATGTACATAGTTTAACCGCCAAAGAGTTGAAATTTTTTATTTTGCTTAAACGAGAGTTTAAGAATTACATAGATCAACTGTGGGACAGATTACCCGAGCATATAAAGACTGATTCAGAGATTCGGCAACATCGTCGGTGCTTGAAACATTATAATTTTCCTTGCCATCGATCACATATTGATCCAGCGCCATTTATAAGAAATTATAGCAAATATCAACAACAATAAAAGGCTGCGGTTTTTAAATCACGCGATAAACGCATTTCCGATCGAATTGCATATTCCCGGATATCAATTTTGTGGTCCAGGTACACATTTAGAAAAGTGATTGACTAGATGCTGACGTGTGAAAGTGTTTTCTACGAAGGTAGATTGATGTCAAAGGAAAAAGATCAACAAAAACAGCCAACAATTGGAAGTAATTGCGTGGGGTTCATGTTGACGAAATTCGATATGAACTCACTTATTAATGATGCAGAGATTGATCGTAATAGAAATGTTGGAATAACCAGTACTCTAAAGAGCTATGCATTGTTTTCAAGTGACAATACAATGATTATGCATAATGCTGAACTTATTCCGTCTGAGTATAATGCGAAAAGTTTAATAACATCTGACGGATATTTTAACTTTTGCGTGCCGCTCAGTATGTTGTTGGGCTTTTGCGAGGATTACAAACGTGTGGTAGTTAACACTCGTCACGAATTAATTTTGATACAAACGCGCAATGGCAATAATTGCATTGTGGGAGATCCAGTTCTCACTGAATCGACGCTTGAATTATACAAAATACAATGGCGAATGCCTCACGTTATGTTGAACGAAATCAATAAATTATCCATGCTGTGTACCTTGGAAAGTGGACGATATCTAAGTATGAGTTTCCGTTCGTGGGATTTGTTTGAGTATCTCTTATTGTAAAACACGACAAAGCATTCGTGGGCTATCAAAACTGCGATTATCATATCATAAAAACCTAGATATGTTTGCTCTGCAAACTGCTAATAAAAAACATCACGAAAGCAACTAAAACTTATTTCGGTCATTGTAAATTAACCAACGTGAAACTTTATCTAAACTCTGAATTTTATTCGTACGATTATCTGAATCTAGATTTTGACAAATATAAAACCGCTGTCTTATATAATATGATTTGTATGTACATTTCCGTATGTCTTATTATCAAATTCCTCGAGAAAATTGTAAAACATTATTGAACATGAAAAACTTTCTTCACGGTTATATTCACATTATCATTGATTGCTCGTGACAAAAAGAATCCATCAAGATACCGTGGATGTCCGAATTCAAGGAGAATGTACCCGCAAATACTATAGCCTATTGTCTCATCATACACGATCGCGTGATCAAATATAGCCCAATGTCCAACATGATACGCAAGATTACGTAAATTATCATTGCTGAAAGAAAAAAGACCTTTCGTCTCTTTTCAATACAAGAGATAAAAACCAAGATTCTTTGCGATCGCGCATAATTTCGAAAAGTTGTTCACCATGACTATACCAACGTTTGTGGATCTGCAAGGATTTATCGTTGGAAAGAAATTTGTCGTGAAGAAAATGGCGATATTGAGAAAAAGAGCTATTCTCTCTCATTATATTTTTACGTGTATTTTTCCCATGCCATGGAATTTCTTGACAAAGTAAGAAAAATATTGCGCTTCCTGGCTGAATGCATATCACCATGAATTGCAATGGGATGATCCCGTACAGCATGGCGAAACGCCTGATTACAATGGCTATAATTGGTGCGGAAAAGAGTGACGACAATAAAGCTCTCGTATACGTTAAAGAACATGAAAAACGAATGGCTGGCTGATATAATCGATAATGACAACTTGACCATTAAGACCTTGGATGCTGATTACGAAGATATAGATTCTTTACACAATCTAGATGTTACTAATAGTATGCGATGTCTAAAACATGTTAAAAATTGTGCGTTACAAAATGTATTTAAAATATACAACTGGTGGTCATAACGTCAAAAAAAATATATCAAATTTAAAATAAAGCATGAAATTTTTTAAATATATTTTGATTTCTTTCCCCCTTCCCCTATAGTTAAGAATTAGTTAATAATAGCTGTTCAGTAATACAATTCAATAAGTATTGAATTAGTCGATAAGAAAGCGCGCTTGATCATTTTTTCTTTATTACTAAAAAAAATATTATCATAATTAATGTTATTAGGTCACATCATTAAAATTCATAAAAATATTATCATAATTAGTTACTAAGTCGTATCATTAAAAATTCATAAAATGCAAGAAGAAAAAACAACGTGGGAGAGAGCGCAATGGGAAGAAGAGAGAGCGCAAATAATAAGTATAGAACTGCAAGAGAGAATTTCCGAGTGGAAGAATTGTATCCTATAATAGGAGAGAGAGGATAATAAGTTAAAGAGAGAACGGGTGAGAGAGAGAGAAGGAACGAACTGTTCCACCTCTATCATGGACTCCGGTGACGCGCTTCCCCCTCCCTGACTCCTTCGCACGCACGCGCACACGCACATCGTATATGTATACGCACTAACATATATAGTGAGTTAGAATGTGTATATATCCTACTGAAGGAATATACATATAATCATTATTTTTTGTTACGCTGTACATACCTCATAGATAGGTAGACAGATCGAATCAATGAAACCAACTTGCATCATCGGTAGTTGATCTTCTTTCTCTCGATTCATAATGTCCTAGAATATCAGACACGTATGCATTCAAGAATTTTTTGATGTACAAATTATTTAATTAATTAGTTAATTGCTATTAGAGGTGTGCAAATTAGTTCAAATTTGAATCGAATCGAATCAAATCACAGTGAATTCGATTCGATCTGTTTTCGAATCTGAGAGATTCGATACTAAATAAGTTCGAAATTTCAAATCACTCGCTTATTTAATATGCTTCATTTGATCGACTCTTTCTCTCTCCCTCCCTCCCTCCCCCCCTCTCTCTACCCTATATCTCCTGCGACGAATCTTGTATCAGCGCTTACCAATCTTCGTGCAAGCGCGTGCGCTTATTTTCTTACATTGTGAAGAAAATGCTTTTCATTTTTTGAAATACTATTCTTTTTGTTTAAGCTAATGAAACAGTCTGAAATAAAGGTACAAATTTAGCACAACAATTTATGGCTTTAAATTAGGTTTCGAAACACTGAAAGAAACGTTTTGTATGTATAATTATTCATTTTGTTGATATGTTACTAACAAAAACTTTCTTACTTTTTCATTAAAAAATGATAGATGATTTTCCTAATTGGTCCTAAATTTACGACAATCTAATTCTGATTAGAATAACAAGTTCGGTTGGAATAACGAAAATTTTAGTTAAGACACAATTTCTAAATAAAAGAATAAGAATGTTTTTGTTAATCACATATCAATAAAATAGATGGTTATATGTACTAAACATTTCTCTCAGTGCAGAATAAATTGTCACTAGTTCCTTTAAAACAATACATTAATCGCGATTATTATTTGTGTACTTATACGCATATGAAAATTTAAGTCTCTAATTTGTCAATTATTATTATGTTATAATGTGATACTTTATGTACTAGAAACAAACTATAAATAAAAGCTAATTTAAAAAGTAATGAAGTATTTTCAATGACAATCCAGATCTCTTTAAATAAACAAAAAATTAGTTATTTTCAAAATGCAGGTATTACCAAAAAGAATTCTTTTTAATACATTTGTCACATTATCAACTTTTTGATATACTTGTATATTCAAAATTAATTTTTTCAGTTTTTAAATTTTTTTATCTGTCAGTATGTGAAAATTTGATTTGAACTCGATTTGTTTTCGAATCAGAAGGATTTGATTCAATTCGGCATAAAGATATTAGATTCGATTCGATTCGTTTTCGAATATGTTGTCACAGATTCGATTCTATTTGATTCGATCTTGCAAATATTTGATTCGCACACCTCTAACTGCTATTCATACTACTCACAATAGGTGTAATATTGAGTGTTCGCCTTTCTATGTCGCCCTGTTCGAAAAACTCGCTACTAACGAGTTCGGCTACCCTCTTTTCAACCTCCCATGGTTTCGTAATAGCCGCTAAATCACAGACTGTCATCAACATCCCGCGTAGAAGTTCTCGATGATCACCAAATGCCCAGTTATAGCCACCACTGCGTGCTAAATTAAGAAAAGCGCCACGTTTTCTGAAGTAAACTGCCAGATCAGTAGAAAGTATCGCTTCTTCAAGAACTTTTACCACGCGCGAATATTCTTCTGGTGAAAGATTTGATAGGATTTGATTGCCTTGGCTGCTCAAAATCATTAGACACTGATCAAAGTGATGATGTTCCATCGTCGAAGTTGAATACAGCTGTGCCAACGGTGATGAAGCTCTAAAAAGCGAAGAAGTATCTCATATGGACACAAAACTATTCGTAATAAGATAAAGAATATAAATGCACGTATGCAAACCCGGTATACTCGATATTAAGAAAAATAAATTTTTTAATACGCATTAAATTAAGCTCGGTTTATTTCCATTTGCACAACCTTCTCCCTCTGATGGTGGTACAAGTGATTTCGGAACAGTGTCCTCTTGCTGATTTAAATCTCAAGATATCTCAAAGTTACTAGCAATTTTTTCAATCCTTTCTCAGTACACTAATGTTGCATCAATATTTCAGAAACGTTGAATTGCAACATTGCGAAAGTTATAACAAAATCGCGAAATGTATAGTCAATGTTAAAGAGACGTTGCAGAAACATCCAATGTCCGTTTAATTGAATGGCA